AGCAACAACAGAAAGACAAATCCAATTCCAGAGAAAAGAAGCAGCTCCAGCTGAATACCAACATCGATGCCATCAAACGCAGTCCAACTTCACCGCATGCACCAAACGCCGCCAAGCGGCCACGTTGTGAGATAATTAAGAAAGGAGAGACCGCTGATATTACGGTCAAAGCGGAGCCAGCTGACTGTTAAAATTGAACTGTGAAATTAAGTTGAGCTAATAATGAAAATGTAAAGCATAAATTTAAGAATTTTTTTTCATAGTATTTAAAATTTATTTGCATTAAAAACCAAGATTTGTTCTCATTACCCAATTGTATTATATAAGTATGTATATAGCATTTTCTTTTTTTGCTTAATTACAAAGGCTTAGCATATAAAAATTGATTTAAATTTGTTGTTCTCTTAATTTGTTTGCCATACGCTTTATTCGCTAATTTGTGTGTTTAAAACCATGAAATGGAAATAGTATGTATGTATGTAATTCGTCAATTTGTAGCTGCCATGTTATTTGATCCGCGACTGTTCAAAGTTAAGCTTGCACTTTTTGCAATTTTGTCAGAACAAAATTGAAATTAAGCAATTATTCTTTTTAGTATGTGCACTTGAACTGCTTTTCCGCATGAAAAATACATAGCAAAAACTGAGCGACAACAAAAAATTGGTGTCAATGTTGCAGCGCAATATGCGAATGTGTTAGTATGTGTGTGTGTGTGTGGATGAGAGACGAAGAGCGCGGCCAATTGTTTGTGTATGTGTGTGTTTGTATGCCAGTGCTTACAATTAGAATTGTGTTGTTTATTAGTCTAGAAATTACACTTGTAAGTATTTAATTATGTATATATATGTATATTTATAAAAATTGTGTTCATTTGTTTGTTAATGAACTTTGCAATTTGCATAATGAGTGTCGTTGATTTACAGCTATTTCAAATACTTTTACACTGCTTGGCAGAGGCAGAGGCAGGGGTCTTGTCTCTGAATATGTATGTGTGTCTGTGTATGTGCTGATTGGCGGCTTTTCATGTGGAAGCAAGCAATGATATCGATATCGAGAGCGTGTACGGTACGTGACTACCGTTATGTACCTAAGTGCCTATTTACGAGATTACAATTTAATTTGTTTCGCTTTATATCTTCTGACTTGAAGCGTTTGTACATAGGCTATATGTATTTGTATGCTGGCTAAAATATTTCAACAATTTTGTAGAAAATGTTTCTCTTATAGATTGCACTTGAAAAATAATTAAGAACTGAGCTTTGTGTCGACAACTAGAGATTAGCGCGTGTCACGAGCAAATGCGATTGGCTTTGAAAATTAGTACTTGCAAAATATTAATACTAAAAATTATGGAGTAAGACACGCGCTCATCCCTACCAGAAGGAGTTCCGAATGGTGTAGGTGTACTAGAGAGAGGGAGAGATATGCAGGGAATTGCATTACATTCACTCGAATTGCGTGCTAAACATGTTAATATTTAGATCCTCAAATGTTGTTGTTGCGCTGTGATCGAGCATCTGCAGCATGTCTGAGAACTCCTGACCCTGTGGCTGCTGTGCACCCCCTGCAACGGCGGCGCCTGGGTGCGCATGCGCATGTGCATGTGGATGATGAGCATGCGGATGCGGATGCGGATGGGGATGCGGATGCGCCGGATGTGAGGCCGCTGCATTCTGCCAATCCCAAGGTGTTGCCGTTGGCGCCGTTTGATAAGCCGATGCCTGTTGCTGCTGTTGTTGACGTTGTTGTTGCTGCTGCTGCTGCTGTTGTTGTTGCTGCTGCTGCTGTCCATTGCCGGCACTGAGCTGCGTGTAGGTGGGGCCACTCGGGGAGCGGGCCGGACTGCTCTGCTGATAGGCTGGATACCCCTCGGTGGCAGTGGGCTGCGGCTGCTGCTGTGCGGTCATGGGACGTGCGCCCCAGGCATTAGGCGTGGGCGAAGTGCCCGACTTGGGCAGCTTGGCCAAAGGTGAGGGACCGCCGCCACCTCCACCTGTTGCCGCACCATACGGTGAGTGCGTGGCATCGTAGCTATAGGCCACCGGCGTATTCTGCGCCGAGGCGGGTCGCGGCGGTGGCGCCTGCATATGCATCTGATAGATGCCGGCGTCGCCGCCAGTTGGCGTAATCTCACGTCGCGGCGGCTGCAGCGTGTAATCCACACCCGGCGCCTGTACATAGACATGTTGCTGCTGCTCCACCTGTGGTTGCTGCTGCTGCTGCTCGGGAGTGGCGCCATGCAGGGTCTTCCCGGAGCTATTCGTGCACACAATGTACTCCACCTCATCTGTGTAGGGATTGAGGAATGCATAGGCCTGGGTGCGTAGCCAAACGAACTCGGAGCTCTTGGCCCGAGCACGATACAGCAGCGAGAACATTTGCCCCTTCTGCTTGAGCACTTGATCGAAGCTCTCCTTCATGTGGCTCTGGTCTTCCGGATGAAAGAAGTCGTAACAGATCTTGCCCAACAGCTCGGTGGGCGTATAACCAAGGATGTGCAGCACACGCTGATCAACAAACGTAAATTTACCATCTAGGGCGTGGCGTGTGATGAACTCGCTCTGGTTGTTGCTGCCGGTCATATCATTGGCCGCCGTTGAGGTTACTTGCAGCCGGCCAATGGCCACCAGGCAGCAGTGGGAGGCCATGTCGTCCACGTCACGTTCCATATGAACATTGGGAAACATATCCGTGGGTGGCCAGTTCTTGATATAGCCTGTGCAGTGGACCACCGCATAATTGGATCCATCCCGGGAAGGGCCTAGCGAGTTGCGCTGCTTTAAGCGGTTCAAATGTCCAGAGACCATAGCGTCGGGATTGACGTTGCCAACGCGCATGCGACAGATGAAGCCACGACGGGCTCCCATGCTCAGGCGCATGCTGGACTGATGGCCCTCCTTCTTGACAGTGCCCGACTTCAGATCGAGAATGCGACCCGCATTCTGGGATTCCTGTGTCGACAGCTGCTCGCGTATCTTGTCCCTATCGTCTGGATGAATGTGCTCGTACAGGCTGGTGCCGTACCAATCGCTTTGTGTGTAGTTGAGTACCGGAGTCACCGAGTCGGAGACATAAATCACACGACCCGAATCGCAGGAGACGACAAAAAGGAATCCATCGGCTGCCTCCAGGATTAAATGCTTCAGTTCCTGGTCTGTGAGGAAGGAGGGCTTGTAGGTGCCATCGCTGCTGGTGTTGCCTGTTCCGCGCAGCGCCTTCATGTGAGCCACGGCCATGCGCAGGATGGTTAGCTTGTCGGGCTTGCGTGCTAACGCGCTGCAGGTGGGCACCATGTCCGAGAGTTCCGTTATGTACGCGGTCATTTTGTTGCGACGGCGTCGTTCGATTTCACAGTGATTCTCGCGGCTTGCGAAGCGCTCCTTGTCCTGTATGTTGGCATCGTCCATGATCCGAATACTTAATTAGCACACTCTTTCACTCGATGTATACGTTTTATGTATGTCTGCCTGTGTATGTGTTTGTTTGTGTGTTGGTCGGTGTATTTATGAGCACTTCTCTTAGTTTTGCTTTGCCCTGTTGTTCGCTTTCTTTATGTGGGTCGCTTTGCCGCGACGGCCCAGCGCACGGTTCTGAAAAATGATTCGTGAGTTGAGGGAGGGTTTAGTATTTTGTCTACGTTTGCCACTGTATATGTGAGTGTATGTGTGTGTGTGTACGTGTGTGTATACAAGTGTACATGGACAGTTTTTGGAAACACACAACGAATCTAGTCTATATACAAACAATTTTTACATTGTTCACCAAACACTATGCAAATTAGTTCATGTTTATCACTTTCTGGCGCTACTAATGAAAGTTTTCACCAAATTTCATTGCGTATTACCAAATTTTCTTCCACGAATTGCACACGCACGATAAAATCTAAAACTGTTTACTGTGTACTGTGTGACCTCAGCAGACATAAATACCAAAATTTCGATTAGCCTATCGCGGCTGCCAAACTTTGTGGGGCTGCCATACTACTTAATACAATATATCGATACTTCTTAATGTACATAAAGTATCGCAAGAAATCGATGCTTTTATTACGCAACGTAAATTCAAATATAAATAAACTCCAGCAACATAATAATTATTATCAAAGACACCCAGTACTAACTAGTCTTTGTTATTAAATAAAACTTCTCATAAATTTAAATGTTCTTGTTAAGTATTTAATGGTATTACAGCATTGCATTGTCTTACATATTTCATATATAGTTTCATAAATACTTTGTTAATTCATAACTAGGCATTGTTCCATTTCATTCAATTTCGAAATAGTACAAGTTTTTTTTTTTTTTAATTAAAATTATTTATTAATAGTGGCAATAACATATGTCTCATTTTTCCATTTGAAATTCTTCTTTCTTATAACAAAAATAGTTCAATAGCTTCTGCTACATTTAGCAAAATTCTTTGTTTCATTTTGAATTCCAGTTTTTTTTTCATTTCTTTCAATTCATGTTTTTAATACAATCTTAGGTAAAGTTTAGTTTATATTTGTTCTGCTTGGTTGTCAGTGTTTTGTGAATGTGTTAATTAATTATTGGCAATTCTCTAACTGCATGTATTCATTATCCTTTGTAATGTTATATGGTAATTTATATCCATTTCTCATAAATATTTATTTTTTTCAAGCAAAGTCTTTTGTTCTATTGGTTTCTGTTTTATTTTTGTTTAAAACTGTGCACTACTTAATGTTAGTTCTCATAAAAGTCATCTCCTTAAAATTGCAAAGCGTGCGTTGTTTTTGTGTCTTATAAACTTTTTTTTTTTTTCAAGTGAAGTCATCTTTTCTATAAAACTTCAGCATAATTCGTTGACTAGAAATTAACTTAAGTACTTATAGATTAAACTTAATTAAAATATTTTTTTTTGTCTATTTTGGTGCAAAATCAACATTTTTGTTAATATTTTGTGGTTAATATAAATTTTGTTTTTCATTTGGTGTTTTTTTAGGTGTGATTTTTTCAAGCATTTTTTATATAATATGTATATTTTTATTATGTTAGTTTTAGTTGACGGCAGAGTTTTGGTTCTTCTATATATACTATGTGCTCATTAAGGTTCCCATTGTGCATTTTATTCAGTTGCTGCAAACATAAACCAACTTTTTCATCTATATTTAAATTTTAACAATTTCATAATATAATCCAAAACATTTAGCACCAAACTGATTTAAATAAAAAATTTTATATATATTAAGTTGATTTCGGTTTTCCCTTTTTTGCACAAAAATTTTGTAATTTCGTTAGAAAATCATACGAAAATTTGCAACAACTTTTTCAATTCGTCAATGCCAATGAAATTAAGAGCTATATAAAAATACTTTGGTTTTTTAAATTTATGTAACATTCTAATACATCGCAATTGAATTCTTTAAAAAAATTAAATAGTTATATATGTATATTTAAATTAGGTTGAAACAAATCTTTAGCACTTAGCATTAAAATCACAAAAAATTAAATATATATATGTATATATTCACTAATCATATTTATAGAGCTAATATTAAGCATAAAGTCATAGTATTCTTCTTTTTGCAGTTTCTTAAAGTTTTTCATATAAATATTTGCAAAAATATTGATATCAGCTATCAGTTAATTGTTTCAGGTTGTTGTAGTTTTGTAATATCAAAACTAGTTGCTAATACTAAGCAGTTTTTGTTTTGTTTTTTAATTTAAAAAACTTTTGTGTTGAATTTTTGAAGATTTTTGTAGTATATAAAATATTAAATTGATTTCTGTGTGTGTGTGTGTGTGTTTTTTTTTATGCTTATTTCGAATGCGAGTTCTAAGTTAGGAAATTGCTGCGTCTTTTGAAGAGAAATGCATTGCTTTGTTATTTTTCGTTTGATTACTGAGTGTGTTTTCTTGATGGATGCTTCAAGTGTATTTGTTTAATTTGTCTTTATTTATATTCTCTTTTTTTTTCCTACGTGGTGTAGGTGCGGATGACATCGCGAATGACCGCTCGACAGAGCGGACATTGTCCACCTCCAACGCCACGCCACTGCTCGATGGCGCAATCGTAGCACATGCACATGTGCCCGCACATATAGAGTACCGAATCGATGGGATTCTCATAGCAAATCGTGCACTCGGCACTGGAGTCGGTGCTCTGCTGATCGCTGAGACTGTCCTTCCATTTGCTGCCATTCAATGTGTTTGTGCTTTGGGCAACGGGCTGCAAGACGAGAAAGAAAATTAAATTAGTATTTTATATAATTAAAAATGATGATTCAAATATATTTAACTAAGCGCAGTTCATTAGCGATTCAAATTAGCTCACTGGGAATACGATGAAGCCAACATACATAGCTTTTTGTGTGTTGCCAGATAGCAACAATTACAAGTGTGACCAGATATTAATAGGATGAATATGTACAATTATATATGCGACTTTTTTGATTGATAGATGGATAAACGGAACAGCAACGTTTAGAAAAGTAAACTTTCAACTCACCTCAATATATTGCTGGCTGGTGGTACTGATCAAGGTACCGCTGGAGCAGGCGCCGGCCAGAATGCCGCTGCTGCTAACAGTGGCCACTGTCGGGCCGACCTGTCGAGCTGTTAGCTGGCTATTGAGATCGTGCGAGCTGTTGGCTGGGGGCAGATTGACGACGAGCACGGTGCCGCCGCCGTTTGGCTGGATTTGCAGGATGTCCCCATTGGAGGGCATGCTGATCATGCGGCTGCCGTTGCCATTGCCGTTGGTGGCCAAGGTGCTAGTCGACTGGGTAACATTCAATTGCATTTTGGATGCGCCCATCAGCTGGGTGGCATTCAGGCTGTTCAGCGACTCCGTCATGGGCAGCATGCGTGAGCTGGAGGCAGTTGTGGAGGAAGCGACGACGGCGGCAGCAGCACAAGCACCAGCTGTGCCCAACTGCGGCTGCGAGGGATAGGCCACCATATTGGGCAGCTGCTGGCGGAACATGCGCAGCGATTGCGTCGAGCCGTATACATCGAGGAAGGCCCACAGCTGGAGGGACTGGTCCACGTGCATGACAACAACAGCTGGGCCATTGTTCTTGCTGATGCTGACCTCGCCATTGGGCGCCACAAAGAAGGCAATCTCATCGCCACGCTGCGGCGCCGCAGCAATGTCCTTGCTGACCACCCAATATTCGGGACGATCGAGCAGAAAATCGGAATCGTTGGGCAAATCGTTTGGCTGCAGCAGCGCCGGATTGCAGGAGGTAAGGCCCAGCGCCAGGGCGCCCACATACATCTGTTCGGTCTTGAGCACCTGGACAATCAGCTTCTCGCCAATGCGAATGGGTCGCGCCGTGAACACATAGCCTTGACAGAAGTCCGACTCGGTGCGCGAGGCAATGAAGCGGTCGTGCGACAGCCGCACATTCCGACCCTTGGTTATGTGGAAGGGCACGGGTATCAGGCGTCCATTGGCGTTATAGCGTAACGGTGGCAAGCCATTCGCCAGATCGTGCTCCACAATGCCGGCGGCTGTGCCGGCCAAATGCAGCGACTGCAGCGATGGCATCACATGTCGTTCCAGTTCGTGTTCCGCCACGATGCCGGAACCGCCGCCTGGCAGCGAGCGACGCGATTGCTGCAGTGGATGGTGAGCGGAGAGTTGCTGCTGTGGCAGCTGTTGTTGTTGCTGCTGTTGCTGCTGCTGTTGTTGCAGTTGCTGATGTGCCAGCTGCTGCGGCAACTGCTGCTGCTGCTGCTGGGTTTGGTACATATAAATGCGAGCATCCAGAAACTCAATGCCCGTGCAATTGCCATAGATGTCGATCACAGTCCAGAGCAAGCCGCGTGTATCGATGCCCGACAGAATGACGCCCTTCTCCTCATTGTTGATGCCGTAGATGACATCGCCGGCATTATTCACATAGTAGTACAGAATGTTGTCCTTCTCGCAGTATTGCTCGTGCAGCGCCTTGGCCCAGAAGCCAGGACGATTTGTGAGATCGGGACACGCGTACTTGGGCAAAGCGCCCTCCAGCGAGGCCGGATCGTTGCTCGTGAAACCGAACCGAATGCCTCCGTTCCAATTGTTCGAAATCTCCGCAAACTTCACACAAATGCGCTCATTGATGCGCACCGGACGTGCCGAGAAGGTGATGGCACGGCAGAAGCTCTCAAAGCGACGCGCCAGCGTGCCATCTCTCGAGATGCGTATATTGTCGCCGTGCACCGTATGGAATTGCAAGGGCGGCAGATTATTTGGACCCGGGCAGGAGGAGGGCGAGCGGCGAACTGCAAATAAAACGGAGACACATGGGGATAAGTAAATAAGCGAAGAATAATAGAAATTAAACAGGAGCCTAAAAGCTCGTTAAAGCTGAAGTAAGAGACTTCAGTTTAATGGTAGCTTAAAAGCTCAATTGTATTTGATTAAAATAATACGAAAAGCTTTAAGCTTGAACATAACATCAACTTTTAGTCTAAAATTAAGTTTCAGTGTAAGACATTAATAAATAATAAAAAATAAACTAACTATAAATCCGTATTTAATCTAATCTGTTTATTTCTAAAGTTTATAACTAATGCAAGTCAATGTTTTTTTTTTTTTCCTTATATTGAGACTCCATCTAAAATTCCATCAACAAACCAGGAAATATTTTTGATAACTCTGCCAAGAGCTGTATCCAAAACACTTGAGCATTTCGTCACATATGATTTTCGTACCTTTCTCTGGAACTCTCTGCACTTGAACTCTTCCAAGAAATTCGTGCAACAACAGCTGCTATAAATTCTCTCAGCTCGTATCGAACGTTGATCGAAAAGTAATTTCATAAAATTGTCAATCCAAAAACAGAAAAAACGTGGTATAAAGAGTTCAATAATCTGCGCCTACATCAAAGTCACGTGCTGTGCGATCTAACTCTTAGGGGTACGTCTGCATGTCGAAGGGGTTAATGCCTCTTGTCTGAGGGGCTACTGTTAAAGAGTTTTGTAATATGAGAACTAGCACATGGGCTTAGGAATCCATACGCTTCGTTGAATGTCTCAGCCGCGGGAGAAGACAGAGGGAGAGATAAAGAAAGAAAGAAAGAGAGAGGAAGTGTGCGTGCAGTCAAATAAAAATGCTTGAAGTCTACCTGCGCGAGCAACTGGATATATTTTTCTGTGACTGCATGTAACTGGAGAGCTCAGCTGCTATTTGCTATAAAAATCTATCTAGCAATTGTAACTGTTGTTCAAGTTAGGTAAGAGAAGGTTGCCAGATCGCATTTATGTGCCAGCTCAAATAACTTTTTGATTTATAATAACAATTTTGATGGGAGTAACTTGAGACTAAATCATATTCAATTATATTTCTGTTAAATCCAGTTGCTACATTTAGTGCTTCTTTAAAAAAAAAAAAACAAAAAACAAAAAAAACTTTGACATGAGGATTAAATTTAACTGATTGATTACACTGGAATAGCAGGATGAAGCTTCATCTGAGCAACTTGAAGCCAAGTCTTTTATCATCATGCTAAACTGAAAATCCGTAGGTTAAATAGCCAACAACTTTTAGCCTTTGAAGCTGCATGTTAAATGACATGTTAACTTTTAGTCAATTGTTCATCAACGAAATTGATTAAACACCTTTTCTTCATCGCATAGCCTTCCGACTGATTGTCACAATTAATGCACATGTAGCGCCCTTGAGAGCAACAGCAGCTGCAAGACAAATTACCAAAAGAAAAATAAAAACTGTGCCTCAGTTAGTTTCGATAATAATGAGGATTCAGGTATTTCTGGGCGACAGGTTCGAGGCTTTGGGGCATATGGAATGTGGCGGCATGCCAGGCAACAGTTGCCTCTGATCACAAGATGAGAGGAGAGACGACCGCCGCAGCAGCAGCAGCCGCAGTAAATGCGACAGCAGGACAATGATGCGGACAGACGGCAGACTGATTACCATGTTGATACGCGGCGCGTGGCAGCGTCTCAACAATGGCTCAAAGACGGAGTGAGTGAGCGAGAGAGAGAGTTGCAGTTGGTGGAGTGACAGAGAGGCGCGCACAACAGGCGGTCGCACAGCGTCTTGAAGGATCCATTTGGGCATTATTTGATCAGGCGGCATGTGGCAGCTGCTCGTGCCTCGGCGAGGCAGCTGCACCGAGACAGGTAAAACAACCCTCGTTGAGTGCAGCTAAGGGTAGCAAAGCGATCAACAAGGGTTGCTAGAGAAAACAAAAATACACAGAAAGAAAAAAGAAACGGCAGATGTTCAAATTACGAAAAGCGACCAACAACAAAATTTGGAAACTAAGCTAGAGACAGAGGCAAAGTATCTCTGTCGAGGGTTGAAATACGATGCGTTCGTTGCCCCGATTTCGAAATAGGGGTGAGACTTAAAGTGCGAGAGAGATAGTGAGAGAGGGGAGAAAGTGGTAGCTGCATAAAGGCAGAAAAATCTGTGACTGCAGAGACCCAAAGAGCAGAAACTTGTATGCTAAGTGCGCTTCCGGCGCAGCCAGGAAGTCGGGCTCAAAGGAAGCAACAGCCGCAGCAGCAGCAGCTCAACTTCCGCTTAGCTGAGAGCAGCTCAAGGGAAGAAGCAGAAGAAGAAGAACAAGCTGAAGTGGCGGCAACAGACCAGTTCAAAATAATGCCAAAGATCTGGCAGCTAGGCCAACAACTACATGAGCATAGAATGCATTGCATCCATATTTATGAACGAGGAAGTCGGAAATCACGTTTTGCGCTGCTTTTGCTACTGCTGCTTCTTCTTCGACGTGGCTACGTGTATTGGGGCTTATTAGCTGCAGGATGTCGCCTGGCGGCGGCGGCGGCAACGGTGACGCCTACTTTTTGCCCAGACACAGACAGACAGACAGAGAAAGAGGGAGAGAGAGAGAGAGCGAGAGAGAGAGAGAGTGAGACATGCAGACAAAGCCCAGACCTCAATAGTCCAGACATCGCCGACATGAATGAAATACTCGTAATATCATGTTTTCTTGTTATCTTTTTTCTCTGTATTCTGTTGGAGCCAACGCTTAAATCAAACGGTTAACGGGCTACGCGACGATCATTTCAATTAGCTGGCAACTTTGGTCAATTAATTAGCTGGCCGCTCAATTGGTAAACGGAGTTGGGTTCATGACGGTTGGGCTAATTGTATTAGCAATGCCGGATGGAAAATGATCAACTGCTGATCACTAATTATCATGGGGCTGAAGGACTGAAGAGGGTTTGCATCGTATAACCACAATTGAAGCTATTGAGCATTGAGTGGATCGACTCTAGATAGAGCATAATTATACACATTTATAGATAATACTATTATCTACACCCACATATATTCCTATCAGTTGATCATCGCAAAGTCAGATAAGTTTATTAGTTTAGTTCCAATATTAATAGAGCTGGCAACAAATAATGTATTTAAGCAAGCAGCAAATTAGATAAGAATTAATCAAAATAATTGATCGTGTATGTAAAATATTTACTTCTGTAAAATCAGTTAAAGCTATCTAAGTTTCGATTTTATTGACGTGATCACAGATGATCATATATGTATGTATTTATAGCTGTATCGAACAGTCGGCAGTCAGCGTTAAAGATCCACACAAATCCAAAAGTATCATCATATATGTATTTTGTAATCTGATCGCTGCAATTTGAATTTCTTTTGGCTTCAATTAGTTTTTTGCTCTCATGATCAGCTCGCCACAAATTGGGCAATCTGATGCGCACAGGGACTGCTGTACAAGTTCAGCTGAGCAGAGTTCAGAGAGCTTTTTGGCGTTTTGCCGACATCTTTCCGTTGGCGAAAAACCGAACCGTGCCAAGCCGAAAACGAAGCGAACGATCTGCCAAACGATCGCAGGCAAATTTTCGTACACTTTTTTTTTGGCTAAAGGAAAAACCTGATTTACCGTTGAGTGCAGACGCGTCTCAAACATTTCCCACGCTGGCCGTGAGCAAAAAGTAAAAAAATTCCCACGACTCCAAATTTGTATATATAGGAGATATCTATATATATATATATAAAGTGGATGTTTGACTATTTTCGGCAAAAAAAAAACCTGTAACAAGCTACAATAATTGCAACTGCAGCATCGATGAGTAAACTCTGAAAGGGGCAGCCACAGCTGCGGGTGGAAAATCAAAGACAAAAACAAAAAATATATATATGTATATATATATATATATATATATATATATATATATGAGAAAATCATGCAGGTGTCATAAAAATAGCTGAGGTAGCACTCAAATTGCTCAGATGGCCCATTGTGGGCCAACTTCATGCAACAGATCAACGATGAAGATCACAAGACTGCCAGTAAATTGATCGTTTGGAATCATTTGTGTGTGGGGCTGAGTGATCATTAGATTGGAATTTGAAGTGCCTTGAAGACTTTTTAAGTGCACTACAAGCCATAACGTGCTCATAATAACAAGATGATTTATAATAAGCTAATACCTACATATATATTTACGTGAGCTTTCGTGATGTAAAATAAGAGCTTTACGCTAGCTACGGAAGGACTTGAGCTTCGAGAATATGAATTATTAGAGGCACAACATGAACATTTATACAGCTTAAAATAAATGCTCTGTGTAAACAACTGTTTGACTTTTTTTACATGTTAAATTGCTTTGAGAGCGAGTCGAGTAAAACATTCTCTACTGATAAATCAATTTACGCCTTAGAGTAAATAACTTTTGTAAGCTTGCATTCTTTATCATGAATGCGTGCATTTTTACAGTTACATATATTTTATTATATGCTAATTTGCTGCCCCTCATAAATGGCGCAATTAATTAACATAAATCAACGCTGATTTGTTGCACACACAAGAATTTCGCATAGAGTCCAATGTGGAAGTTGTTTTTTATTTTTTTTATGGGTGTGAGAATTGCCTGACAAGTGGCAACACTGGCCGCACAGGTCTGCCCACAAATTGAGTTATGCGCTGCCCACGCAATGTGCATTTTCTTCTAACTAATTTTCCCGGTAATAGGTGTGCGTTAGGTTGGCTGTATGTGTGTGCTTGTGAGTGTGGGTTCGGGGCGTCTAAAATGAGAGTTAATATGTGGGCTTTTAGTCGGACAAGCCTACAAGTCAAAGCTTAAGCGAAAGCCACACGCCATTGAAGAGTTCACCCACTCAAAAGCTGAGTTCATCTGGCAGCTCTGTCAATTGACCACTAACACTAACGCAGTGCCAGCGTGGGCCGCACCAATTGATATACTTTGAAATCGATCTACACAAACGCTGCCGCCACCGCCGCCGCTGCCGCCCGCACGCCTTTACTTTAATTGTCAAGCATTTCCGGCAATAATTAAAGAGGCCTTCACGTTAATTGTTGCCACACGTTCCACATTGCCAACGCACGTGGGCAACAATGACAATGTAAGCCGACACGTGACCTATAACCTATGACAAAACAACAACAGCAAAACCGGTGCATAGGCCGGCAGCGCCAAATACAAATTGGTGCTTTCTAACAGTGAGTGAAAGAAAGAGCGAACAACTTGTTGCTGTTGTGTTGTTTTTTGATGCATGTTTTTTTTTTTTTTTTTTTTTTTTTTTTTGCATGCAAAACCGCTTCCGCTCTGCCGCAGCGGAAGCCACTAAAGCGTCAGACCAATTACAACATACTCGCACTCTCTGCCGTCCTCTTCCTTCCATCTTCCATCTCTCATTCTCTTTCCGTCTGTCTGCCTGGTCGCCTGCTCTAACACAATGCAACTTCAGAAGCCGTAAAAGCACAAATGAGCAAATTGACCATAGAGAACGCGCAAATAAAATATAATAAAGAACAAGAAATAATTGCGCAATAAACGGCCGACGATAGCCGAGGGCCGCGGCCGGCGAGAGGTCAAAACTATTGAGTGTTGTTACTGTTATTGCGCTATTGCTGTTGCTGCTGCAGTCGTACAATGCACTTTTTTGCATGCGATTAAGCGAAATCTGATGACGCTGCCATGGGATGCATGACAAAGTCATGTGCGTGAGTATGTGTGTGTGAAAGAGTAAAAGCGCGATAGCTTAAACTGTGGCATTGCTAAAATGTGCGCAACAGTTAGATTTCCCTTAAGCGAAATTTCCCTTGCCAACGCGGCAGAGGGAATAAACAGTGCATTGGTGAAAAGTTCCTACTTGCTTGGCTTCAGCTAAAAATATTGATCACACCTCAAGGGTTCAATGACTGTCATAACATTGCCTCAATCTATCACACACACTGTCGCATTTTACATACATATGTATATAATTAGCTGCCGCGAGGGTGTCCAAGTCAAATTTTACATGGTTTATTTTTACAAGTCGCGCTGTTTATGAATCTTGTCTGTTATGTGTTTATGGAAACTTGTGTGCATGTTGTAGGTGGCGGCGGTAGGGGATAGAAGGGCTTTTTGGTTGTTTTCTATATGCGCAGCGAAGCATGCGACCCCTGGCAAGAAGCAGCGCAACGCTCAAAATAGCAACTGGAGCTCCGTTTCAGTTGAAGAAATGTACATACATGCATATGTATATAAAGTATGAAAATAACATAAACTATGTATACTCGAAAAAGATAAGATGGCGGACTTGGCTCTCTTCCGTTTCATTTTGTTGTTGTTTATCGAAGCGTTGCAATTGTTGCTACGTTTGATGAGAAAGGGCTAGCGAACAGTTACATGCACACTCACACATACATATTGCATTTCCTCACACACATGTGAGAAGCCGGCGCACTTGACTGCACAGCAGCGTCGCAACCTCGGCTTGTCTACAATTCTCTTAGACCACTTCAGTTTCTGCCGCTGCTGCTGCCTCTTAGTAATTAAATCACTCAAGCGCAACAAGAGCGAACGAGATAGATGGGCATAAGCACGCGTATAATAGACCGAGACAACTGAAGAGCTTACACATCATTATGAAATAATAACAATGCATTTGAGTAGATAACAATGCAAGTGGATTTTTATTGTTCATCACGTATTTATTACTTGGAAAAGCTTAACAACTGAACGAGCGCCTGCGATCGTTCTCTTTTAAGCGCCGATTACGCCTCTTCGCCTAAGCCCTTGCGAATTTGCATTGATATTGTTCTCTAATTGGCATATTCTTTCCAGGTGTTCCATCATTCCAAAATTAGTTCAGCTAATAGGCGCAACATGTTAATTCTCTCAGTCTATTCATAATTATGCATAAAGCTAAAGCTGCGAACAGCTGCAAAAATAGCCGAAAAATCTAGTTGAGCGAAATTGAATGAATAGCCTAGACACAAAAAATGTATAAAAAATGAAAACATGACAGCGAAACAAGAATACGAGCCCAAAATAAAAACCCAATCGATGAACGGCTGAATGTGGATATTTTTTTGGACAACCCGTAGGTAGGTAACTATCTATCTACCTCTTGATTTATCAGCCCTGTTGCTCGACCGGGGCGTAGATAATTGCTCTGCGTTGCCTTTTGCGTGTGTTCATGCCCGAGAGAAGAAGGAATGGAAGGCAGCTGTCCCGCATCTTGGCCGTCTTACCTGTTGCTACCTGGCCAGCTGTGTTGCGACACCCAAGACGGTTTTATCTATGTATCTATGGGGTGTACAACTATTATCTATGTGTCTGGTAAATTGTTAACAATATTTCTTTGTAGATATACTAGGCTGTTGCAAGTGCCCAGCCGTCAAGCTGGTTCATTAACTGATAAACAATGGAGAGAAAACATTACAACTATATAGGTCACTATGATAAATAGAAAGACATGCTTTTTAGAATATACTTGAATATCTTTCCTTTTATAAAATTGAAGGGTTTCATTTGCTATGAGAGCTTACGCTGGACACATAAATAGTCGAAGGTTACGCAGGCTCTCTTTAAACGACGCCTACGCTCTCACGAGAAAGCATTTAAACATGCTAGCGTGTGTGACTGTGTGCGTTTAGTAACTGTTGTAGTAGCTGAAAGTTCTACGTTTAACTCTCTTATCTGCTCAAACGGCTATCGGCTTGACCGCAAATAGCAAAAATATCTTGTGTGCATGTGTGTGTGTGTGCTGCACTGTCCGCAAGCTTTGAAGGATGACGCATGTGGGGCTCACTCTCACATGAGCTCATAGGCAAAGCAAACCAACCGAAATGAACGAAGCAATTGAAAGTTGTGCGATTTTTATTTAACATACACACACACATATACATATGCAGATGTATGTGTTTCTACGTGCGTGCTTGGGGGAGTTTGAGAAGCACTGATGAGCAAATATTTGTCGGCGCGTAACAAATGAAGCCCACAGAATGCATTTGAAATTTGAGTGAAGTTGGCAGCGCCAAGCAGCAGCAATGGCAACAACAAAAGTAAACCGTGAGAAGCTCGAGTAAAAGCAGATAAACCAAAGCCAAAGCCAAAAGCGAAGACTTTGTCTATGGCATGCCAACAGGCAAACAGCAGAAGACACAACAACAACAACAATAAGCGCTAACAAAGTGTAATAGAGAAAAAAACAAAGACAGCAACTACAATAATAATAACAACAACAAGCAGCTGATTCCAGGCAGCAGCAAACCAAACCGAAAAAAAAAACAAAGTAATTTCATTGATTACCGATACGCAGCGCAAATGCCGCACGTTCAAAACGAAATGGAATAAAATTGGATGTGGATGGGAAGAGTAAGAGGCAAGACTGAAAACGCAGCTACAACTCGCCTCAAGCCGCCGGCCCCTCGCCTTAACCTAGCTTTAAAGCTTGTCTTCTGCCTGCTCGTTTTGTTGTTGTTGTTGTTGCTGTTGCTTTGCTTTAGCTCTTTTACTTTGCCCAAGTTGCCGTCGGCTGAAACGGCGCTTCGCGTACAAATCCAGCCACAACAAAACAACAACAACATCAACGACAACACTCTGCAACTGCTGAATGGGGCATTTGGCCAGACTTGTTGGGTTAGTCGAGGGGCCCAAGGGGGTGTGGCGGCCAGTCGTAATGTATGCGTCATTGGCTTGGGGCTTGGTTTGGTATTTTTTGTTCCCGTCTCATGCTTCTTCTGCTGCTTCGCCTGCCGCCATAGAACAAAAGCTGAGAGAGTGCGCGAGCCAAGAGAGGCTTTTCCAGCTGCAGCAACAGCAATCAAAACAAAATGTCAAAAATTGAGCGCCGCAATCGCGCTGTGATACGTAAACATAATCGCGCCGTGTACTATGGTCTGGTATGGTATGTGTGTTACATATTAAACAAAATATTTATATATAAATATATGTATATACATTTATTTAAAGCGTTTGCTTATGGACTTTGCAATTTCTTGCTAGCTTTATTATTTTTTGTTGATGAGAGATCAACAGGCACTTCCGGCAAAGAGTGTTGAAAGGAAGTTGGGAGGCTTTACAAAAATTGAAAGCTGATTTGAGGCACTCAAGAGAAATTTAAGAGATTGTTGAGTCACTAAATAAATTCTAATATAATTCCTGATTTTGTATTTACCACAACTTAAGTAAATAATAAAATTTTAAATGTTTAACTGAAAGTCCCTTGTATGAATTCGTGTGAATTCACATTCTTGGAACTAAGAGAAGCAAAGTTCTGTAGAAGCTTATTGCAGGCATATAGCTTGGGATCATCGGTTCTTAAAGGGAAACAAAACCGCATTAGATTTTGCCCTATGTAAGAAAAAAAAACAGAGTTTCCGAGTCTAATTTTAAACACACGCGACTTAGCTATTGCTTAAACAATCTCAAGAGGTTTTTGCTGTGAGTTTTATGACTGATCTTTTTATTTAGAGAGAAAAAACGCTAATGTATTCAGAAACTCGCTGCTGTTTGTTGTTGTTTTCCTGCTTTAAAATGTATTTATTTATCTTTGCCGCATTCATTAACGGCACACACACACAAACAGCCGCACACATTTTAATATTATGTGGGAAATTTTTCAAGATATGCAAAAATGAATTCAAGTAGCTTTTGCCATGAATTATTTATATAGTTCAAAACTGATTTTTCGCACGCTGCAATTTAAATTAAAAAATGTTTCTTTTTTTCTGTACTAACCGAGTCCGAAGCGTTTCTTGATTTTCTTCAGCAAATGCATTTTCTTTTTGCTGGACATTTTGTCCTTGGGGCTCATCAGAAGTTCGCTGTTCTCCATTGCCAAAACGTGTGCAGCGGCCGCCGCGGCATTTAGTTGATGATGATGATTGTGCTGATGATGATGGAGTTGTTGTTGCTGCTGCTGCATATAGTTGACTGGTATATCCGACAGACCCATTTTGAACGGCTTTTATTTTTTGAAAATTCAAACGAAAACAAACTAACGGACAAAATGCGCTAAAAGCTAAAAAGCTAAAAGCAAGAACCAAAAACCTTGCGTGCTTTCAAACTTTTTTTTTTGTTTTATTTGGCATAGAGTTTATTAAACATTTAAAACATTTTGGTAATTTGTTGTTGATTTATGTATTGTTTGCAACGGTACAAACAAACGCGAACAAACAACAAACGCGAACGAAACGAAGACGAGACGGAACGAAACGAAGCGAACGAGCGTGTGCGCCAGCTTCAACGTTTATTTTCAAACTGAAACTTCTTTGCAGCGCCAGCCAACGGGCAAAGTTAAAAGGCTGCGCAGTCAGCGACGGCGGCGGCGTCTACGACGGCGTCAGCACCAGCGTCAGCTGACTAGCGATGCACGCGTGAGCGCAAGAGCAACAAACCAGTTATGCACGAAGCACACTCGTGTCGTTTGCGCTCGTACTGAATCCTTAAAGACTTCTTTCTCATAACAACTCGTATTGAATACTTAAAGATTTTAATATATATTGTAAATTTTAGTCTTAGGTATATAGTTTAGTGAAAAAGAGTAAAAATTGTGCTTAAGCAAATTCATATTATTATAATTTGCTGGGTGTTGCTGTTGCTCGTGTCTCTGTTGCTTAGCTTAACTGCTCTCGCGCTCATCTCTAACTGAGAGGATGAGCAGCGTGAGAGAGCGCGGCGTAGGCAACAACACCGACGCAGCTCTACTTGCAGCTGTTTCTTATTTACTATGGTTTCGCTTTTGTGCCTGCTTTCGCGTGTATTGAACCTCCCTTATAATTTGCTCAATATTGTTGTTGTTCCTGTTTGATCGTTGGTGCACCTTGATAGCCAAATGCTGTTGTTGTTGTTGCTGTTGCTGCTGCTGCTGGCGGCTGTTCTAGGCCAGGTTTGTTAGCTGCCTGCATTTTGACCAAGCTGCTGCTCTTTGGCGCTGAGAAGACGCCGCAAACTGTTTCGCGGCACTTTTTTGGCCAAAGTTCAGTAAAGTTCAAGACAATTTTTTTTTTGCTTAGTACCATGGGGCGATAAAAGGCCTGTTTGCTGCCCGCAGTTGAGTGTTAATACGCCAAATTTTACTGGAATAGTGTGTAAAACTTTTTGCTTCTCTTTGTTAATTCATTTTTTGTTTTTAATTATTATGTATTTCTGACTATGGGGCATGAACCTGATAAAGTTCATTAGGGGAAAGTTGCTTTTGCTTAAAATAGTTTACAGTTTTCTAAACCAAAAACTGAAAAATAATTTCCTTTAATTTTAAGAAAATCGAGAACAATATTTTGTAAAGAACAATTTTAAGGTTTATGAAATTCTTATATTTAAGGTATATTCAAGCTGTTATAACGATTAAAAAAATCCGTGCAACTTGATTCGAGAAAAAATTGAATAATTTATCATATTTTTTACTGTATAATTTTCTTATCTCATTATTATCGAAAACTGAAATTTATCCAATTCTGATTTTATTCTCTCTTTTAAATATTGATAAAAATATTTCGCAATATGTACTAATGGGTGGGTGCTTTTTATTGCAGTCGCTAAGCTTTGTGAAGTCCCGTTGAGAGAATTGTAAAATTTATATTATCGTTGGCCTAATCTAATCGATTAGATAATCAGACTCTCATAAGACTCTGATGAATCAGGGGAATGCCTTTGGAATTTTCAAGTTCCATGTCAATAAATATATGTACATATAATCTGTAATTTAAAAATATATGATGGACATGAGATCATCAAAGTCGTAAAATGGAATGCAACATTTTCGTTTGGCATTTACATTAAATGCTGGCTTAGAACAATTCTCTACAGATATTGATTAGAATTGGGAACGCACGGTACGGGGTTTAGAATAACTATAGACCTACGGAAAACCGTATGACATCGGATAAACAATAGAACCTTGAACCCAATGGCCACAAAAACGGAATGATGACAATTGTCAAGGCAAAAGACAAATGCCAAATTGAAGAAGCAGACACAAGGCGCAAGACGAAGGAGAAGAAGGAGAGGAGGGTAAGGAACCTTAAACCAGTCAGCAGATGTTTCCAAATGTTCGTGGGAGAGATCGACTGAACGGGCTCTATGGAGAGAAAGGGAAAGAGAAAGAGAGGGAGGGCGAAGAACTATATAGACAGGGAGTATATTTTTGCAAATGGGCACACACATACACACATGTACAATAAAATAAAAAGATTCTAAATTTAAGAATAAACTACTTTGAATATTGCACAGAACAAAAAATACACAGAATTATCTCCCCCAGGCAGGCAGGCACAGAGAAACATATGGGGGCAGCTGCCTTTGGGGGCAACTCCGTACACTTGGCAAAAATAAATCTTAGCATTTTTAGTTAAAATTTGCCGTGAAGTTTCTCAAAAAGTGTGTTAACGAAGAGGTTTACGTACTGGATTATTAACTTATATTAAAGATGTCAATTCTTAAATAATGTTAATATGAATATACAATACTTTGAAATCAGGCTGACTTAAACTTATTGTGGAGAATTTACTAGGAAAGGGGAACAAATTAAAATCATTTGATGGAAATTTCATTTCGAAATTAACCCCTACTCTATTTGGCTAAGTGTATGGGCGAAAATAAAAATATACTTCGCATATATGGTTAATATTATAAATATGTAAGGCATGGTGGAGCCTTATCAGGGACAGACAACTGGCGCACGTCCGCCACGTGTTTGTCAAGCCTCAACAAAGACCCATGCGGAAACCCAATGCTGCGCCATGCTTATGATCGTCATGTGAGTGCCGAAGCGTATGCGGGATAAAGGAGTTGAAAGAGGTAAAATTTACACCTGGTTTTTATTTTTGGTCAGCGAGCAAACAAACAAACAAACTGAAAACCCCTTCCAATGCAAAATGCAGCCACAGATGCGAACGATCTGCACGATATATATATTCGTGCATATATAGTGTTTGCTGGGGGTAGGTTTTTCGATTTCTGCACAACTTCTTGCTTGTGGTTCCTGTTTCGACAGCATGTCCTTTTTCTGCTGCTCCTGCCACTGTTGTTATTGTTATTGTTGTTGTTGTTTTTGTTTTACTTTTGGCCAGGCCCAGCGACAGCAGCTGTATTTCCTTGCATTTCAGATGGAACGCGCGCCTGCTGCCAGCCAGGATGCTGAATATGCATTTCCCACTTTAATATCAAAATTTAAATGCTTTTGCTGTCTGTCAGACGGCCTGTTCGTCCTTCTGTCTGTCTGCTGATCCTTTCCGATCTGGCGAATTGCATCTGCTGTCAACGTATGTAAAAGCATTCACCAGACATCGCTGTGGCCGGCAAAGCAATTATTATCCCTCATCAAGAGCATAGCATCGGCATCGCAGACAACAGTTGTCAACATATTTCATATGAGTAGAAAAAAATAAACCAAATAAGCTAAGCAAAAAAGAAACCACAGGATCAGGCGTCTGCTAATGCGAATGTCCTTAAAGGGGAGTCTGCCACATGAGCTTAAAATTGCTCTTCCGAGGCAGCAGCAGCTGTTTAGTCTGCCTCTAAATAGACTTAGACTTCACTTTATCTCATCTAATCTGTTTGGAGATCTCATTCCTTGAAAACGACTTTAAGCAAGGAAAACTGCAAGTGGTAGGAAAGCTGTAAATGGTATTTTATTTTCTCTTTAACATAGAAATATAAATGTCAAGTATATTGAGTTGATGCTATAAGCAAGTGGAAAAAAGATTCACAATTCTCTGATTCATTTATCACATCTATACAGCATACAATTTCTTCAAAGATTTACAATTCTAACAAAATTTCGTATACTAATATTGTTATTGTAATATGGTGTGATTTCCTCGAAATTTGGTTTAGTTTGCTCAGGATCACATATAATGGAATAGAGTAACAAGATCTTAAAAGAAGTACCAACCTAAAGATCTTAGCCATGAAATATTTGCTTCAACACAATCAGATTAGATTTATTTTTACTTTAGAACAATTAGCTGAAAAAATAATTATTTTTGTCTTTTAAATACTAACGATACATTTTTATAGTGTTTTTTTTATACCCTGAACCCATTTTCAATGGGAAATCAGGGTATAATGGTTTTTTTTTTATACAAATAATTTATTTTGCCTCATATCTACAGAAAAGTATATTACAGCAATAAAACAATATAATGTTTATCTAAATGATGTTAAAAAAATTTTAGCATGAGCCGGTAAATGGAAATATATACTATAACCTTCACAGACAAATAATTGGAACGTAAAATAGATATACAAGTTCTTTATTAAATTGTTTCCAATCTAAATTAAATCTAAATTAGCCCTAGCAATAGATTGTCAGAAAAGTAGTTCCGTTTCAATAGAATATTATATTAAATGAGGGTTTCAAGTAGTTAGATAAGTTAGCCATAGATATGATATAGTAGAGTATATAAACTTAAATGATAAACTGGGCATGAGAAGCGTTTTAATGAATGTTATCTAATGCTAATCGGTTTATTATATAATTAAATAAACCCTGTTTAAAGACAAGGTGGAAACGTGCGGAGAAGTCAAAATTTCATTTAAGCAACTTAAATATTTGATATTATTTCTGCTTATCAACGAAACACCTGGATAAGCGCAGCTGTAAATGGTAAGGAAACCCTCATTGGTTTATCTTCGAACTCTGATCAATCGAATCGAACGGAACTCTGAAGACGAAAAGTGTAACAAATATCCCGAAGAAAATTGTTGCCCAATGCGTGTTTAATTAGAAAACGACATATGCAAAGGATCTCGAGGATCACATATGACAGAGAGAGGGAGCAACCGAGAAGGAGAGCATAGCAACTGTTGTGTGTTGTATATAAATATAGAAAACTAATCCAGTCTTGCGCAAAGGAACGAAAGAAAGAAAATTACGCAAACACTTGAGAGCGACAGCAGCAGCAGGCATTACACTGCGAGAAAAAAGTGTGTGTATGTATGTACATACTACACAAAACTGTATATACAAAATTCGTGTTCCTTAACTTTTCATTAAAAAAAAATATATAATAAAGAAAAGGTAAATTACAAAAAAATTATTATAGAAATTACACCAAACTTGAGAAGTGTTTTGAGTAATTTGAATTTTTTTTAGACATGGATATACCAATTAAATTACCTTTAAAAACTACAAATTTATTCCATGTAAGCTACAAGTTTTCTTGCTGTGTACACACATGCTTATATACTATGCATAGGAAACAGACTATATATAAAATTGATCCTTTTTGGGTGCTGCATACCTGCGACTGCAGCAGTTGTGCC